GACATAGCAATGTTCGAGCGCACCTCGTGTGAGAAAATCTCACGACATTTAGAAAAGAAAAGAATTCGAATTTTATAAGATAACCAGGAAGTTCCTCAGAAATATTTCTTGACAGAACCACATACAATATTTGCATAGTTGAGCGGAACAAATCTTTGCAGTTCTTACAAAGCATGGAAAATATTGGGTAGCTAACCTCATCAATAAGATGCTGTGACTGTTCAGCAACACGATTGAATATCAAAAATTGAGCTCGATATTGTTGTGCGTCATTGCCAGTAATAGTAACAAGGCGCTCGCCATCCTAAAAACCGCTTACAAATGCAAATCACGCCAAGTTCAGAACAGCTAGACAATGAGTCAATTCTCTCACATCATTCCGCCTCTCTTCAGGTGGCGGTGCTTCTGTGTGCACTTTTTCTTCTCCTTCACCATGTGATTGAGCATCACCGGCACCTTCTTCCTTTTTTTCTGGTTCCTCTTTCCGTTCAGGTTCTTTGCGTTCCCCGCCTCCTTCTATTCTTACGTTTGCACCCGAATTTCGAATAATATTGCGTATGTTACCGCCCTGGAAAGAACAAACCTGTTTTATGTCATTCCCCAACGAATCAAAAAAGTAAAAATAACCTACCTTGCTGCCAATGATAGCTCCAACCATAGAGTTGGGAACCCACATCCGAGTGGTTTTGGAAACATCTACACGTCCACCAACTCCACACATCGGTCCACCAATAGGACGCATTGTAGATGCAGCCAGTGCCGCGTACGCGTCACCGATCGGGTGAATCATGCCAGGCATCGCTGGGATACCGGTAAAGGACATCTGTGAAAACGTAAGCTTCAGGAAGATATTATCCGATAAGCGTTAGAACGCAAACTGTTGAAATGGGAATAGAGTGGATATTCAAATAGAGGGTAGTCAGAGTCCAAGTGGAGTCACAAGGTCTATGAATATACTGGCACTGAAATCTTTACTGATTTGCAGACTACCGAAGCACTCCACCGTTTGGAAAACGGTATAAGAGGCTACAAAGGTAGGATTCGGATCTCTATAGGAGAGTTTGTGTTCGCCCTTTAGGTGAATTGAAGAACTACGGACGTTAAGGTCAGGTCCGCTCAGAGTACTCTTTTGAATCTAATAATAAATACAAGAACAATCTCACTACTTGTAATTCGCTGAGTATGTCTATGCGTGTGTGCATGTCTGTGTGGGTGTGTGTGCATTTGTCACGAAATTCGTAGCGCGCCCTACCAGCATCACCCTGGATTTAAATTTCAACATGACATATGTAGTCCGCGGCGAGCAATAATTTGGTGGGGACACGAAAGTGATAACTACTGATTAGACTAGATGAGGCACGTTAGAACGCGGAAGACACGAAATGCATGACGCGCGACCCAGTAGCAGTGAGGCGTTGTCTTCCAAATATGATGTAGCGGGTGGGACGCGAACATACTTGGTGGCGACCAGAAAGTGATAACAGTTGCTAGGGGCGGATAAAAAGATTCGGGTAAAACATCTTGTCAACATTAAATGCAAGGCTGCAGCATGGGCTTTTGTTATACATAAGGGTCAGAAGGGATGGGGACTAGAATCGATCAACTGATAAAGTGATGCTAAAAAAAGCGTTGGAAAGCTTATGTCGGCTGAAACTCAACTGCGCAATCTAGCAGCCCACTGGAAAGCTGTTTGCAACCCTAGAGATTAGGGGCTGACAACACATAATTGATGGGGAACCAAAAGTGGATAAACGCTGAAGAGGTGAAACCCGCGTTGGGAACAGCAAATTTCACGGGGGAAGATTCCATTCAATGTGGATAAAAACATCAAATTTCTAGTGATGTACTGATCCATTCGACCGGCTAATCTGCCGGCTCTCTTAATGGGTCGAAGATCTTAAAAAATAAACAACTTGGTGTTTATCTCATCACCTCGAGATTACTCGGATGCTCACACATCCAGTACCAAAGCATGGTATACTTCACGCCGAGGGGATTAAGAATGCCAGCCCAAGTCAATATATCAACTTACCAACTCTATATCCTGCTAAACCCTGTTATTACGAAAAAATGATGGATTTTATCGGTATTGGCGAACTATCGAAAATTACTGCTTTACCATTTGATTTCCTTAATCCTTCTATTTTATAAAGCGCTAACTTTGTGTGTTGGTTTGTATGTGTATATGTGTGTATGTATGTATGTGTGTCCGTCCGCAAAATGAAGTGAGTGAGTGATAAGGCAGCTAACGGAATAAACAAGCCGCCAACAAATCTGGGTAGCTCGCAGGATTTGCGCTATCAATGTTTTGCACAAGCATGATTGTGATAACCCAGAACGGCTATATAAACACGCACTTAGCACACTTTCGGTCATTCCACAAGGTGATGCTGTGGTAGCCGGCGAGCAGAGGGAGAACGAGGGGAGAGTAAGGAGAGGAGGGAGAAGGGAAAGCTTACGCAAGGTAGGGAGGTTCCGGCGCTTGCCGGGGGACCAATCTGGTTAATAATACTTAATCTATTGAAAGCAGTATGTTACTCAATACCATAGCTCGGCTACTCAGTTTCAAAGAAGCCTATAATAAGAACTTAGAATGGAATATTCAAGAATAAGAGGTGGTTCGTTTCGCCTCTTACTCAGACGAACCACTATTTATGTTTTTGTCAACCCATATAAAGTTATGGGTAGTCAAAAACAAAATATTAAACAATGAGGTTACAAGTATGTGAAGATGATGAGATAGGAAATTTAAATAACAAGAGGCTAGTAGTTTTTGTCAATGTTGACATGCGCGCGATAGCTGGCGGAGCAAATCTGATGAGTAAATAATGTGGTAACTTCCATGGCATAACTTGAATTTTTCTACAAAAACTAAATGAAGCACTGACTCTGTGCTGGAGATCTGTCTCGTAACTTTGTCGTAACCTAGCAGAGATCTTTTGTTCAGCGGCAGACACCTGAAACATATGCTTTCGACCCAAACAACGGCATCGAAACATAACGAAACATACCACTTCGATACTTGGCCCTTTTACAGTAATCGTGCGTTCCATAGTAAGAACCGCATCAGGGAAGGGTGGCATTAAACCGCCCATAGAAGACAATTCAGCAGCTCGAGACGCTTGCTCGCTGAAATTTCATATTTCAACCAAACTCTGGGAAATTTTATCAGTAGAACATCCATCACGGAAGCCAGTCTTTATAGAAAGAAATCATAGCTCCCAAAAGTTGCAAAAGTTGAAGCACATTCCAATTTCACGAGCCACTCTATTTACAGTTACATTAATTTGTAACTCTATATCAACCGTAACTACACATTTTGGAAAAAGATACTCAAATAGCTGTGCAGAAGATTTCTCCCTTCAATTGTCTACTGATTTCTGACCTAACAAATCAAAAAATGTCACAGGTCACGAATACGATTCGCAAGCTGCTTCCTGTCAAATTTTTAAGGAAAACCGATTACGAAGCTTATTAAGTAAAGTGTTTTCAAATGCAAGCTGCACATCAAATGGTGAACAAAGGCTCGATCTATCACAAGG